CTGTTCATGTGTAATCACGGAGTACTTGTGGTCGCGGAAACTGCTGCCAAAGCATTTGATGACATTTACTATTTAGAGCGTGCTTGTATGACTCAGGTCAGATGTTGGTTATTACACAGCCTGCGTAACAGTAGTCTGCTACACAGCCGTTTTTAGAGTCGTCACGCAATGCTCCTCCCCACCAAGGAGCGTTGCGTGACGACACTAAAAACGGCTGTGTAGCAGACTAGCGTAACAGGCGCCTGTAAGTAATATGTGCGCAAGAAAGAACGGGACGCGCGGGGAGGTCCCCCTCGCGCGCGCCCTGTTCTTTCTTGCGCCCATATTGCTTACGCTACTTATTACATAGACCACGAGTACTTTTTTTGTGTTATTATTTTCACAGCGATGGTAGAGCAAGCCTGACACTTAAGCGCTCGTCGGCGTTCTCGTCAAGACGCTACAATACCTGCTATCTCTTTCCTTCACGCACCGAGATTTCTCGCTGAAGGCATTTTTTCGTTCTTGAATATTTTGCTCCGAACACCTCAACTACATATGGTCGTGTTATGGTTAACCTCCTAGGTGGCCAACTGTAGCTTGATCGGTCAAATTTGCCCCGAATCTAAAAAGTCGGCCGTCTTTTCCGTTAATGCAATTAAGACCCAACAGGGAAAAACGCCGTAACATTAGAGACATGCGTCTGTTAGACTGCAAAACAGTCGGTTTTTCCTCTCAAAATGAGCTTTTCAGGCACGAAGCGCCGGCGTGAGATTTTCGGGCGAAACACGCGAGCGTCACACTTCTTTAGTGAGTGCAAGGCGCAGCTTTCCTTACTCTCACACTCTGTTTTCACACTCGCTCCAGAAAGTTCGCTTGACCGCTCGCGCGTTCTTAGCCCGTGCAAAAATACAGGCTGTTTTGTAGTCTAAGGGCCTGCAAAATTACATTTACTAAATACAAAATATCGTGTTTTTTTCCGGCATAAGTTTAGCTGTTGGCTTGCTAGGACTTCTGAGCAACGGTACGCTGGATGAATATCCATGGGAAGATTAAGCCCTCTCCTTAACCCTCCTCATGTAAAAAGGGGCGGGAGGGGGGAGGGGTTCTATTAACCCTGTTATAGTAGTAGGGTAACCCTTCCAGAGGGTTTACACCACAATCATGTAGACAGGGCCACTTCGAAGAAAAATGAGAGATTGTCATCCCAATATAATCCTTGGTGGTCTACTGCCTAGTGACTAAATAAATAAATTAATAAATAAATAAATAAAAAAGATTGCTACCAGTTGTTGTTGTAAAAATTAAAAATAAATGCTGGCCAAGTATTTCAAGTCACACACTTTCTATACAAACTGTGTAACTTTGTTGTTCAAGACTGCTACCAGTCTATGATGATGTAATGTAGTAATAATATGTTATAAAATAATTACCGTCAAAAGAGAATGATGGGACATAATAGCTCGTTATTCTCTCTTATTCACTCATGCTGCCATCCATTTTATCTTCTTAGGTATTGGCTTTGTCGACTGGAGAGGCGTTGTTTGAGTTACCAGAAGAGTTAGTTTCTCAAGTGCACGAGCAGTTTCATAAGGAAAATGATGTTGCTAAAATGAACTACAGCGGGGCCCATTTTGAGAGTGTTAAGAGAATTCTTGCAAAAGAGAATCCGGATTTTATGAAAAACAGGTTTTTCTCGGTTCGCTTTTGGATATCTGGTACACTTAGCCAATTAGAACACCACAAAGGCTTGATACAATACGAATTGATGGGAGTAGCGCATAAAGTAGTGCACTACACTCACCCCGGAAGTAAATTGCAGATACACGAGACAACTCCGCCTTGCTGATGAGTTCTACCAAGGATGAGATTGCTGTCCGCAGCAGGATGCCATTGCTTTGCACATGCGCAAGGTACCGCCGGAGCATAGGTTTATTCCAGTGAGTGTCACTTACCTTAAGTGTTGCCCGAGTATCCAGCCTTCCCCGGGGATTAGTGAAGAGGAGATTTTATAGCGCGGAGGAGGAGGTAGCCTGCTTCGCAGACCGTCTAAATCCCCGATATGGACAGTCTGCGCAACAGCTCCCAAAAGCTTGTTCTGGTATCCTGCAGGTTTGCAGGGATATCTGTGTGCATTTCTAATTGGCCTAATTTCTAACGCGCTTTGTGATTGGACATTTAATTTCCTTCCAGAGAAATCTGTCAATACTCCGCTCTGCAACCGCAACCTATCTAGGTCTCGAGTGACAAGTCCGGGGGTGGGGGGTGGGGCTGCGTCCCCTTTTTTGATTTTCTCTCCCTCCAAACCCCTGATACTCAGGATCGGCCTTCAGTGTTTCCCTTCATAAGATATGCATTTTTTAGGTTCGCGCGTCGTCATTTGTGGGTTTGAACGAGAGAAGCGAAGTAGTTGAAGGAGATGGAAAGGCCGAGATTTCAGCAGCCACTATTCATCGAGGAGTTCACAACGCTCGGCCAGACGCAGTTTGTGTATTTCACCTTCATCCGCCGTATTGTACTGCTATAGGTAAACATTTCCGCTGATTTTTATTTCAGTTACCGTAAGCGAGGTGTTATATAAAGGAAGAGCGTAAGTTATTTGTTGAAGACCCTGAAGGAAAGGAAGCAGAGAGCGTCTATATAGAACATCATCTGACGTATTGGGTAGTGCGGACTTACTACGAGCAAACAGCCATCTTTGTGAGAGAATATATCCCCAAAAAGGGCTGATAATGAAACACAAGTGTGAAGTCATATAGGAGTTAAGGTTTGTGTATTCGTGCCACTTAGGCTGCTTCGGGTATTTAGAAAATCCACCATTAGAGCTCTCGTTCTTGTTTGGGGAGCTTTTAAGGTTGTCGAGCCTCAAAATGATAGAACGATGTGTTATTCGACTGATTTTTTGCTACCTCGTAGGAATAATCCTTCTTGAAACTTTTATCAGTCTCACTTAATCTAGCCCCCCATGCAGGTGTTTTTAGGGGAGCACATATTTCCTCCCTCCCCACAAAGAAATACGAGCTCCCCTAAATACACCTGCGTGGGAGGCTACACTTAACCATTCTTTTCGTAAATTTTAATTTCAGGAAGCTTAAAAAATCCTGAACTTAGAATGTGCCACCAGAATTCGTGCAGGTTTTACAACTGCATTGCCTACGACCGTGACTACAGCGGGCTCAGCCACGATGATGAAGAAGGCATGAGGACAGGCAGGCAGCTGGGAGACAAGTCGGTGCTGTTCATGTGTAATCACGGAGTACTTGTGGTCGCGGAAACTGCTGCCAAAGCATTTGATGACATTTACTATTTAGAGCGTGCTTGTATGACTCAGGTCAGATGTTGGTTATTACACAGCCTGCGTAACAGGCGTCTGCTACACAGCCGTTTTTAGAGTCGTCACGCAATGCTCCTCCCCACCAAGGAGCGTTGCGTGACGACACTAAAAACGGCTGTGTAGCAGACTAGCGTAACAGGCGCCTGTAAGTAATATGTGCGCAAGAAAGAACGGGACGCGCGGGGAGGTCCCCCTCGCGCGCGCCCTGTTCTTTCTTGCGCCCATATTGCTTACGCTACTTATTACATAGACCACGAGTACTTTTTTTGTGTTATTATTTTCACAGCGATGGTAGAGCAAGCCTGACACTTAAGCGCTCGTCGGCGTTCTCGTCAAGACGCTACAATACCTGCTATCTCTTTCCTTCACGCACCGAGATTTCTCGCTGAAGGCATTTTTTCGTTCTTGAATATTTTGCTCCGAACACCTCAACTACATATGGTCGTGTTATGGTTAACCTCCTAGGTGGCCAACTGTAGCTTGATCGGTCAAATTTGCCCCGAATCTAAAAAGTCGGCCGTCTTTTCCGTTAATGCAATTAAGACCCAACAGGGAAAAACGCCGTAACATTAGAGACATGCGTCTGTTAGACTGCAAAACAGTCGGTTTTTCCTCTCAAAATGAGCTTTTCAGGCACGAAGCGCCGGCGTGAGATTTTCGGGCGAAACACGCGAGCGTCACACTTCTTTAGTGAGTGCAAGGCGCAGCTTTCCTTACTCTCACACTCTGTTTTCACACTCGCTCCAGAAAGTTCGCTTGACCGCTCGCGCGTTCTTAGCCCGTGCAAAAATACAGGCTGTTTTGTAGTCTAAGGGCCTGCAAAATTACATTTACTAAATACAAAATATCGTGTTTTTTTCCGGCATAAGTTTAGCTGTTGGCTTGCTAGGACTTCTGAGCAACGGTACGCTGGATGAATATCCATGGGAAGATTAAGCCCTCTCCTTAACCCTCCTCATGTAAAAAGGGGCGGGAGGGGGGAGGGGTTCTATTAACCCTGTTATAGTAGTAGGGTAACCCTTCCAGAGGGTTTACACCACAATCATGTAGACAGGGCCACTTCGAAGAAAAATGAGAGATTGTCATCCCAATATAATCCTTGGTGGTCTACTGCCTAGTGACTAAATAAATAAATTAATAAATAAATAAATAAAAAAGATTGCTACCAGTTGTTGTTGTAAAAATTAAAAATAAATGCTGGCCAAGTATTTCAAGTCACACACTTTCTATACAAACTGTGTAACTTTGTTGTTCAAGACTGCTACCAGTCTATGATGATGTAATGTAGTAATAATATGTTATAAAATAATTACCGTCAAAAGAGAATGATGGGACATAATAGCTCGTTATTCTCTCTTATTCACTCATGCTGCCATCCATTTTATCTTCTTAGGTATTGGCTTTGTCGACTGGAGAGGCGTTGTTTGAGTTACCAGAAGAGTTAGTTTCTCAAGTGCACGAGCAGTTTCATAAGGAAAATGATGTTGCTAAAATGAACTACAGCGGGGCCCATTTTGAGAGTGTTAAGAGAATTCTTGCAAAAGAGAATCCGGATTTTATGGAATGAATGTAAAATAAATACAATGGGAACTTCATCAGAATTCACGAATTCAAGAAGACGACTGTGAAGTTAATAGGCTATTCGTGGTAGGGCTGGAGAACTCTGTGAGCTGAGTTTTTTATGGTTTCTTTCGCTGCTTAGAGACTTGTCAGAAATTAGCAGGGGGGAGGGGGGTGGAAACAGAGGGAGGGTCACAACTTTTTGAGACTGCAGAAAAGGGAGGGTCGTGAAAAATGGGCCGTTAAAAGGGGGAGGGTCATGCAAATATGTGTCCGTGATCATGTAGAAGTTCACCCACAGAAGAAAAAAGAAGTTCTTTATTTTGTAAAAAAACACCTGGGAGAAATAGGAGAGTCGAGTGATCAGCTGTCAGAATCAGAGTTGGACTCAGCTTAATACTGTCATCTAAAATGCATGCATTACAAAGAACAGATTAGAAATAAATTTTGAGCTTTCATAATATTGACTCACCCTAGTGTATTACAAAGAACTAGATTTTATCATTTATACAAGAGGGGGAGAGTCAAGGTCAAGGGGAGGGTTAGAAAATCTCACTCCCATTGCAGGGATGAGTCACCTCATTTCCAAACCCAAATTTAAAATTCCCACCCCCCTCCCTCCCTGTTAATTTCTGACAAGTCCTTTAGGGATAAAAACGTCGTGACCAGTGTGTCACCACTCATCCGAGGGGACTGCAGGACATTTTGTTCCTTTGTAGTGTAAATAAGTGTAAGTGGTAAACTAAAGTCCCCTCTATCATCGTACTGAACAGACCTTCCGTATTCGAGCGTTGTCAATTCTCTATTGGTCAGTTGTTGTTTTAGACTTGTAGTTATCTAAGTACTACTTTAAATGTAAATGAGTAATGTATAATCCTGGTCAAAACGTTTGGGATACTTTGTGTTTGAGGTGAGGAAAATGAAATTCAAGTTGACCCCCTCCCCCCGTGAACAGTGTTGGGTGTTACAAGTCAAACCCTGAGTCAAACTCTTTTACATATTTTGCATACGCTAAGGATGTCAACTTTGTTCAGGGGGGTGGGGGAAAAATCATGTTAAGGCCGTGTTTATGAGTGTGTATCGCAGGTTAGCTGCAAATTTCATAGAAAAACACGTGAAAAAGGGGAGGTGTCCCAAAACCTTTTGGCCAGGATTGTAGATATGATCGGGCTGAAAGCCGACCATTAAGTGAAGAAAACTAAAATCATTTTAGATGCTTGCATGTGCAGAATGAAAAGTATGGTTTCTTTTAAGATCTGAAAAGTTATTAGTTAAATTAGTCAACTGCAGAAGTGTTTTTTTACGTTCAAAATTCTAATATCATCCGAGTCGATGATGTAAAAGTCCTGATAAAACACACTGGAAACACGAAATGCAAGAGTTTAGTACTGAGTTTTAGTACGTTAAGGGACTGGTCAAAAAGTATTGGGGGGGTGGGCCGGAGCAGAGAGGGGGTGGGTCATGAGGTTTTGAGCCTTGTGTAAGGGGTGGGTCGTGCAATTTGCAGCTACCCTTAGGGGGTGGGTCACCCTATTTTATTACATAGATAAGCACTAACTGCACTGATGAGACAGTTGACCACACTTGTTTTATAAAACACAGCCAGCTGGAATTATTGCTAAAATACTCACAGACCTGTTGTGCGAGAAAATGCAACGGGTGACAGACCGCACATCCCGTGAACCCTTTGTTGACCTTTTTCTTTTTTGGCTCTAACGAGCATGTCCTTTAATGATTTTCCTTTTTTGTAAGGAAATGATTGGTGGTTCTTTAAAAATTTATTAAAGTTATGGTTGGCTTTGTATAAGATTCCATTTTTATTATTTAAGCTTCCTTTTCAGTAGACACTGAGGGTTGGTATTGTGTCACAAATGGCAATAAATCTTTTTCCTCCTTGTAGGTTTTGTTTTAGGAGTTTAGACTCGTTTTTGTGAATTTTATTTCTGATAGTAGGTCTTCCATCAAAGTTTGTGGGTAGCCAGCTCCGTCCATCAAGCGTTTTTTGAATTATTTTCCTCAAAGGTCGTTTTTGAGGAGTTTTTTCGTAGGATTCTCAAGGCTTCTCCTTTGACAAATCCTTTTTTAACACTTGGAGGGTGACACGAGGTGAAATGTGTGTGCAAGAAGGTTTCCGTTCATTTAAAATGTCTCTTTGCGTCAAGGATGGATTTTTCTTGAATTTTGTGCCTTTGTATACAACCGTGTCTAAAAACGCTGCATCTCAGTGTCAAATGTTTCGGCCATGAATTTAACAGTTGGGTGATGTAAGTTTGCTTGTTCAATGAAGGCTTCGATGTCTGGTTTACTCATGTCCCATAGGGAAAAGACATCGTGTATGTAGCATTTCCAAACTGTTGTTCTAATGCATCAGTCAATTCCAGCTGCGCCCAGCACCTCCCCGGGCTGACCCCCGGGCATTAGCATTTTTTTTGCCTTAGATGGCAAATTCCCGGGGGTGGGGACTCTTGAGCTGTCAAATCCCCCGGGGTGGGGACGAAAAAAGAGGGCAAATGCCCCGTCCTCCGTAAACACTGCAACATTTTTCATTGATTGCATAGTCGAATAGTGCCGTTTTAAGCATTTTAATGTGAATTTTTTGTTTCAGTTAACGTCTTCCTTTGTAATAGCGCTATGATTCTAATTAAGACTTCACGCCGCAACGACATGCACCAGTTTATAATTTTGGTATTGATGTAAAATTATCGTCATTAAAATAATAGAGCGCTGTCAAGTTATATGTTATGAATAGTTTTATAAATATGAAAGGATGTTCTTCAAATAATATCAACAGAAATTTGATTCAATAACCAAAAAACGTTGATTCACGTCGATAGCTCCCGATTTCGCAATGTAATTCTGGCTCGATAAGCAATGAAGAAATGCATGCATAAAATCAAGAACATGCCTTTACAAACCTCTTCAATTTTTCCTGTCCTTGACAGATGAGCCCATCTGCTTTCTTTCCCAGTAAAATCCTCTGTGTAGTTATTTTCTGATAGGAAACCGCGTGCGTGTCAAAAGCTCAGGAATGGCCCCGGACTTGGCAAATGCCCGGCCCCGAGGCAGTACAAAATTTGCAAATGCCCCACCCCCGGGACTGACAAGGCGGGCAAATGCCCCGCAGTAGCCCGCGGGGGTGTTGGGCGCAGCTGGAATTGACTGATGCATAAAGACAGTTTTGCTTAGAGTTGTTGTTTCAATATATGTCATGAAAATATTGGCAAAGGAATCAAAACTGCTGTCTTTGTGCCCATTACAGTTCCATGGTTTTGTAGGTAGTGCTTTCCATTGAAGTGGAAGAAATTTTCTTTGAGGATTAATCTAAGAATTTCCGGCAAGTAATGTGTAGGAATGGGTTGTCTTTGTAGAAATTTTCATGCGTTGTGACAGACAATTTCAATATACCCTCGTGTTGCTGTATATTTGTGTCAAGACTCATAACGTCCATCGAAACAAGAAATGTTCGGTTTTTCACATTTGTCTTTTCAGTGAAAGGTATGATTTCTGTGATTTTGATATTGGTTGTAGCAGTGTATCAACAAATTTTGTCAAGCACAGAACAAGGTTAGGCCATCCTCTTTTTTTTCTCCGTTTACCGTCGTCCGACCGACCCAAATTTTTGGCATTTTTTAAAAAAAAGTAACGACATAGTTACACCATTTTTCACTTGAAATAATTCTTTTAATCTGAAAAATGAGCATAGCAACAGCACAGAGAAAAACAAGAACAAAAACATGAACATTTTTCACAGTATATTTTACATTTTGTTAATCCAAATATGTGAATGTTAACTTTTAACGTCGTCCTGGGGTACCAGGGCCCACTATTCCGAGACTTCTTGTGATTTTTTTTAAAGTTTTTTTTTTTCAATCCGACCGACCGACCCAATATCAGGAAACGCATTCGACGGTAAACGAAGAGAAAAAAGGGGATGGCCTTAGAGGAAACCAAACATCCATGTTTTAACTAGGGGGTGGGTCATGCAATTTCCAACCTTGCTTTAGGGGTGGGTCAGTCATTTTTGTACCGAAGGGAGGGGGTGGGTCATGTGTTTTTTATCAACCACATTTCCAAATGCTCCGGCCCACCCCCCCTATACTTTTTGACCAGTCCCTAAATAGCTTATAAGCTGTCATGTTCATTCGAACTCTGATCCAACGATAACCTCCAAGGAAATTTCCTTTTTTAAGAATACCGATGCGACCTCTTGTTAGCTAAAGAGCTTTGGCTCGTTACTGTATTCAATAAGAATCACAATCGAAAACGGAATCAGAAGAGTAGGTGATTGAAAATTATTCGTTAATAAAAGTGGAGTGTCTCCTATTTTGACGATGTTGGGGTTTCAAACCCCAACTTTAAACAGCACAATAAAGCTTTTTTCCATTGCCATATTCTTGTTACTCATTATTAGCACTATTATTTTTTAGATTGTATTCGGGTCCGATTTAGGATTTTGCTGTTTTTATGAGGAGGATAGGGCGAGCATGGCTGGGATTTGCCTCACATATCAAGTTTGTATATGAGGTAAAAAGCGCTGCCGTTTGAGATGGGCTTCCCCTAAATCCGACCCTGCTTTTTTAGTGTTTAGTAAAATTTATATATACCCTTGATGGCACCCAACTGCATAGACACCACGATAATACGGACAGCGGCTAAATAACTGGCGAAGCAGAAGCGTCATAACCCTAAACAGAAACAGATCCTTTTATAGGGTCCGACGATCAGTACGCTAGTTAAGTAATAGAGGCGACGGAGCGTTTTGAAATGTGGGGCTCATTTTTTACTCAGCCACGCGCATACCTTTACTCAAAATTTCCTGCCCTTTGCGTCGTACGTTGGCACAATTAAAACTCTTTGCAATGTTCACAGTTTCTAGTGTGTCCGTAATCGATTTGTTACAATGCATCAGTAGGTATTTGTTCAGGTGGTCCTGCCTCATGGTGCTTCTTAGACAGTTCTTTGTGAACCACTCCTAACATTGTTTTTCGGCGCAAATCGGGGAGGGCACTGTCCCTACGGCCCCCCTGCCTCCCCCGCTCCGCCGCGTATGAGTATGCAACTCTTTATCGCCTGGGCGATCCCTTTTTATAGCGGATCCTTGGCTAACCGACAAGTTTGGAAACATCGGGATGGACCTATCTTGCCGGCTTTGTTCCTGCAGAGGAAGAAATGTTTCTTTTGGCCACAGGAGCCCATGGGCTCCTGTTTGGCTATACTGACTAATTTTGTTCGGTCAGGGTACCAATCTTCTTTTGTGCCATTTATGGAGATATGAATAGCTGTTAAAAATGAACACTAGTGATGTCGTGATTAGGGCAGTAAGTGACAATCTGCCTATCGTCCTTGGGAGAAAAAAGTTAAAGACAAGTGAGTGCTTGAAAACGCCCCAACAAGTGATGTTTACGAACCAATAATATTCAAATTGTTATCCCCCGATTTTGTAAATGCTTCATCGAAAAATAGAAACACATTTAATCAAACAAGAGGACAGTAATGAAAGGAGCAGCACGCGTAATACCCCACCACTGTATCTTTAAAGAAAAATATGACCTCTTAGCCTGCGTGTGACAGATATGGCAGTACATGTGACCAAGTCGTGTTTTATTTGTTTCCAAGTCCTTCCACCCTAGTGATAGATCGCCTGAAGAAATTCTGTAACATAACAGCAACAGATTCTACTGAATATAAACTCGTTTCTGTGAAGAACCGAACTCGCGACGCCGGAAAAAAAGNGCTCCGCCGCGTATGAGTATGCAACTCTTTATCGCCTGGGCGATCCCTTTTTATAGCGGATCCTTGGCTAACCGACAAGTTTGGAAACATCGGGATGGACCTATCTTGCCGGCTTTGTTCCTGCAGAGGAAGAAATGTTTCTTTTGGCCACAGGAGCCCATGGGCTCCTGTTTGGCTATACTGACTAATTTTGTTCGGTCAGGGTACCAATCTTCTTTTGTGCCATTTATGGAGATATGAATAGCTGTTAAAAATGAACACTAGTGATGTCGTGATTAGGGCAGTAAGTGACAATCTGCCTATCGTCCTTGGGAGAAAAAAGTTAAAGACAAGTGAGTGCTTGAAAACGCCCCAACAAGTGATGTTTACGAACCAATAATATTCAAATTGTTATCCCCCGATTTTGTAAATGCTTCATCGAAAAATAGAAACACATTTAATCAAACAAGAGGACAGTAATGAATGGAGCAGCACGCGTAATACCCCACCACTGTATCTTTAAAGAAAAATATGACCTCTTAGCCTGCGTGTGACAGATATGGCAGTACATGTGACCAAGTCGTGTTTTATTTGTTTCCAAGTCCTTCCACCCTAGTGATAGATCGCCTGAAGAAATTCTGTAACATAACAGCAACAGATTCTACTGAATATAAACTCGTTTCTGTGAAGAACCGAACTCACGACGCCGGAAAAAAAGTGGACCGCATTTACGCGACGATATTTAACCAATCGTAATAAAAACAGGCGTACGATAACAGCAATTAAAAAACCAATAAAAGTATAGTGGAGTGATCAAAACTCAAGTGCAATTCGTGAGTGGCGCTTTTCGCAGACGCCAGTATGGTTATTAAGTTATTGGCACTGAAAAAGACAGTTGCTTAATCTGATGTATTCTATACTACGCTAACACATAAGTTGCCCTCGTTGAATGATTTAGCATAATCCCCTGGTTTATATTTATATTTGTTGTGTAATAATATTTTTACACAATGAGATTCATTGAGCTGTTTCCGCATCGTGTTTTCTCCTTTTTGAGGTTTTAGACTGTCGAGAACCTCAGTATCGACGGAACTCAAATATATTACGGTTCTAATATTCCATTAATTTTTTTTAAAGAGATATGCTCCGCTAAACAATGACGTGATATGAGTCCAAAGAATGATTTCTGTATATTAAACTCCATGCGAGATAGGACTAGCTTGTTCGAAAGAGGTTAAGATGGCGATAGAGGCTCAAAACTACATAGTACATGTTTAGTTCATAAATGTGACAGATTGCTACAAGGATAGCTGACTTCAATGTTTCTTGAATTAATCAATGGAATTGAAAATGCTTATGTCAAAAAGTTGGGAAAGTTTTCGAGAGACCCAAAGTGGGCGCACTAAAAAGATCTTATGACATCATTCCTTTTCCGTCTTCAGGTGCCATGACAACTGTATTTATTATAAACGGTGTACGTGAGCCAATCGGAAGGTAGGATCTATTGTAGGATGTTTTAAACCACAAAGACACGCCGCATTGTTCATAAAGTTTAGCAAATTTCACGGCGAGGAAGACTGTCTGCTCCGTGGGAATAATTGCAATTATGAGTGCTGAAATAGATGCTCACATAACGAAGAAATATGAAATCAAAAAGCGTTTGGGAAAAGGAGTAAGATCGTCGTTCGTGCCGTTACAATTTGGTGCGATCCGCGCCATTTTACTGTTTGGCGCTTCGTCCTGTGACCACCAGCGTGATTTGATTCGGGTTTATTTTCATGTTTATAGGCTTATGGAATCGTCTGGAAGGCCATAGATAGGCGAACAGGAGAAGTTGTTGCTGTTAAAAAGATTTTTGATGCTTTTAGAAATCAAACAGATGCTCAGGTATGTTTTGAAATTGAACATTAAAGCTTGCATTAGTATGTAAGCTTTAGGCCCAAAATGTTTGATGATACTGCTTTGTTTGAATGAGTATATATCTTTGCTCATTACGTTTTTATCCTTCATTTCAGAGGACCTTTAGGGAGATTTGTTTCCTTCAGGTATGTAGAATTCAGTCAGTTTGGTTTAACCTTGAGCATACTAGAGAGATATTGCTGTGTGTTTCCGCACAGCATTTCAATGGATGAAGCTCCTTTGCGCCGCTCTCGATCTAATCCGTCCTGTACTTATTTGATTCCAGGAATTCGGAGACCACGAAAACATCATAAAACTGCTAAATGTCATCAAGGCAGACAACGATAAGGACATCTATTTGGTTTTTGAATATATGGGTACGTTTTTTTATCATTACAATATTTATTAAAAAATTTCAAGGTCTTGCATTTGCGTGGCATAGATCTAAGCTTAACTTTACCTTAGAATATTTTATTGTCCAAAAATTGATTTCTAGTTTCTCTCTGAACTTTTCCAAATTTCTTAGGGAGCATTAAAATATTCGGCGTTAGCGTCTGTTTTCTTTGGCTGGTAGAGTTGATTTGCATGTCGATGTAAATATTGAGACGTAATAATTTGAGCTACCTGCCAAATTCCTACCTTTCAAGAGTATATAAATATATGGCTTACAGAGGAGAAGAACTTATATTTAGTGAATATAACATTAAAAATAACTGCTGCAATTACGTTTGCAGCGTGATTTTTTTCGTGAAAATTGTTTCTAAGGTATGGGTTTGTACAAAGTACACTTAATCTGCATTTTACTTATAAATAATCAACCGCAGAAGCTATAACCATTGATTTCTTCCCTTTTTGTATCAATCGTGACTTAAAAAGCGTTATCGGAGGTACAATATTATTTTTATGGAACTGACGTCTTTTCATGGAATTTTGGTTCTTGGTAAACATAAACAATATTTTGAAGCCAGCATCATTTGTTTAAAGTTTTAATGACCATGGAAAGGTTGAGTGAACTTATCTTTTATTTTATTTTATCTCTTTGGGAAATCGTCTGGGAAGTTTTTTACATGATATGAAAAATGTGTTAAGGATTATTTTTTCCTTCTTCATATTCCTGTTGAAAAAAGATGTTAGAACTTGTTTCAAAGTTTGTTGCCAAATCAACTCAAATCTAATACATTTTGACACCTGTTACTCAGAGTTTGTTTTGATTTGTTTCTCAGCAGTGAACAGAGAATTACTGGTCAGATTTCTAGAACATTCTTACACATACTTGTGTGTTTAGAATCTTATTGATTCCATTAATTAATGGGAAGGAGTCCCAATAGGCAAATTAATTTTACAAAATTAATGTAATTCTTGTGCATTTGCTTATTGTAGACACTGATCTCCACAATGTTATAAAGAAAGGCAACATTCTGAAGGATATACATAAAAGATATATTATGTACCAGGTAAAGGATTATCAAAATAAATTTCTATATATGCATGTTTGTAATTCTTAATACCGGTATATGTTAGCCACCTTAACTCTGGGATGAAGCCAGGAGCTGGCTGGCGGTTAATTTCACCAGCTGGAAAACCACCACCGGCTCAAATTACTCTGGAAAACAGACTTGTGGTAATTTTGAAGACCAAATGCCAGCTTGACAGATAAAGGAACTCGCCTTGCTTTTCCTCTTCAGTTTAATTTTTTTAAAGGCTGCAAAGCTTTATGTCAACAAGTACAAAGAATTATTCACTACCATCAAATATGTCTAGTCTAAAGGAAGAAGTTATGATAAGAATGATTAAGTTTTCTTGTGTCTTGCACTTTATTGCTCTCATATTCTAAACCTTTTACAACAATTATTATTATTAAGTTATCTCAAAGAATTATTAACCATGTTTTTAAAAAGTTCCTTGTTCTCTTGTGGCTAGTATAGACACAGTAGCAATGATCACAATTTAACATCTGTTACGCAATTTAACCATAAGCACTTGCTATATTGCTCTTGTGTTGTTTATATTATGAAGTGTGGTTATTATGACACATTTCCCACAGTGGATTCTATTTTAAATCTGTATTATGTCATCATTCTTGAGCAAACATAAAGAATTTGTTTTATACATTTACATGTACAAGGTTTTTTTTTTCATAAAACCCATGGTGAAAACAATCAAAAGCTATTGCTCAATAAAACATGCATTTAATTCAGTTCAATTAAATTTCATTTTATAATAATCACATGCTTTAAGTTGGGTTGTGAACATCACATCCTGTTTAGGTAGGCATTTCTTGGTGATCTAAGCAGGTCAACCTGGTAGTGTACAAAAATGCTGGCTGATTACATAGGTTTTCCAGAAGGTCACATTATACAATCAGAAAGGCCTAATATACAACAATAAGATAATATTTGTGCAATTTCAGTGGCATTAGTTCTGTTATGGATGGTTCTCAAAATAATGCTTTCTCCCACAGATTTTAAAGGCAGCTTACTACTTACACTCTGGAAATGTAATTCACCGAGATCAGAAGGTATTTTGTTTTTTTGGATTATTTTATGTCAATACATTGATTATTAATTTTTTTATGATAATAATAGCTACCTCAAAGCATCGTGCTTGGTTATGTTATGATAGACTTTATGATGAATGATGACCAAGTTTNCAGCAGTGAACAGAGAATTACTGGTCAGATTTCTAGAACATTCTTACACATACTTGTGTGTTTAGAATCTTATTGATTCCATTAATTAATGGGAAGGAGTCCCAATAGGCAAATTAATTTTACAAAATTAATGTAATTCTTGTGCATTTGCTTATTGTAGACACTGATCTCCACAATGTTATAAAGAAAGGCAACATTCTGAAGGATATACATAAAAGATATATTATGTACCAGGTAAAGGATTATCAAAATAAATTTCTATATATGCATGTTTGTAATTCTTAATACCGGTATATGTTAGCCACCTTAACTCTGGGATGAAGCCAGGAGCTGGCTGGCGGTTAATTTCACCAGCTGGAAAACCACCACCGGCTCAAATTACTCTGGAAAACAGACTTGTGGTAATTTTGAAGACCAAATGCCAGCTTGACAGATAAAGGAACTCGCCTTGCTTTTCCTCTTCAGTTTAATTTTTTTAAAGGCTGCAAAGCTTTATGTCAACAAGTACAAAGAATTATTCACTACCATCAAATATGTCTAGTCTAAAGGAAGAAGTTATGATAAGAATGATTAAGTTTTCTTGTGTCTTGCACTTTATTGCTCTCATATTCTAAACCTTTTACAACAATTATTATTATTAAGTTATCTCAAAGAATTATTAACCATGTTTTTAAAAAGTTCCTTGTTCTCTTGTGGCTAGTATAGACACAGCAGCAATGATCACAATTTAACATCTGTTACGCAATTTAACCATAAGCACTTGCTATATTGCTCTTGTGTTGTTTATATTATGAAGTGTGGTTATTATGACACATTTCCCACAGTGGATTCTATTTTAAATCTGAATTATGTCATCATTCTTGAGCAAACATAAAGAATTTGTTTTATACATTTACATGTACAAGGTTTTTTTTTTCATAAAACCCATGGTGAAAACAATCAAAAGCTATTGCTCAATAAAACGTGCATTTAATTCAGTTCAATTAAATTTCATTTTATAATAATCACATGCTTTAAGTTGGGTTGTGAACATCACATCCTGTTTAGGTAGGCATTTCTTGGTGATCTAAGCAGGTCAACCTCGTAGTGTACAAAAATGCTGGCTGATTACATAGGTTTTCCAGAAGGTCACATTATACAATCAGAAAGGCCTAATATACAACAATAAGATAATATTTGTGCAATTTCAGTGGCATTAGTTCTGTTATGGATGGTTCTCAAAATAATGCTTTCTCCCACAGATTTTAAAGGCAGCTTACTACTTACACTCTGGAAATGTAATTCACCGAGATCAGAAGGTATTTTGTTTTTTTGGATTATTTTATGTCAATACATTGATTATTAATTTTTTTATGATAATAATAGCTACCTCAAAGCATCGTGCTTGGTTATGTTATGATAGACTTTATGATGAATGATGACCAAGTTTACAGTAGTTGAGGTTCTGCGTACACTGTAGTTGACAAGCCATATTTTGTTTGTTTAATTTTGCAGCCAAGTAATGTCCTTTTAGACTCAGAATGTTTTGTAAAAGTAAGTCATTGTTGTTTTAGTACTCTCATTTTGTTTAAGTAAAATTATTAAAGGGGGTGTGTGGAGTAAAGCCCAAGTGTCAATTTTGTCTTCAGTTTGTCTTCTATGTCCTTGTAAATCAAGGGGAGTATTCTATATACAGTAGCAGTCAATTGGTCGTGGATATGTCCAATATTTTTTGCTAATTCCTGGCATTCTCAAGACTTTATCGTCAAACCTTATGTCAACACTTTTTTCAGTATGTGTGATTTGTAGGGGGTTGTTGGTGATTTCCCCATGATTTAGGGCACCCTTGTGGCCTTAACTGAGGTGAATGAAATTTAGTACCACTTAATGGTGATGTACCAATTTCTGTTAGCACTTATTGTTTACTTAAGCATTGCACTTATGTGTATGATAAAAAGCACTATGCCCTAGAATACCTTGCTTCAAACCTCACAGCCAGATTGTGCTAAAATCACGGCAAAAATCACTGCTCTTGTTGCATGACAAATCATGCGATAAAATCCCAATTAAGTAAAAGGCCCTTTACAGGGTAAGTAAATTGTGTGAAATATGATACTAAGAAATGTCTGTGATAGTACAGGTATCAATAAGGAAAGACTCAGTGTATTTAATTGAAGGTTTTTCTACTTGTCATGGCTGTTTGAAGTGTTATAAAATGTTAACCTTGCTGTTCTTCTTTATTTACAGATCTGTGATTTTGGTCTTGCCCGGTCAGTGACAAACATGACTCAGGAGGCTGGTGATCCTAGTTTAACTGATTACGTTGCCACTCGCTGGTACAGAGCACCTGAAATTCTTCTAGCTTCACCACGGTAACCAAAAATCATGTGATTCAATAACTTCATAGCTGCAAGTTGCTTGTAACAAAAATAAAAATGATGTTGATATCTAAGCCTTTCTTAGTGAGGTTCTGTCTTTTCTGACAGGTACACAAAGGGTGTTGATATGTGGTCTTTAGGATGCATTTTAGGAGAAATGCTTTTAGGTAAGTTAACAAGTGCAGTATCCAGCAAGATAGTTTTCAGTGTTTTATCTATATTTACATCTGCCATTTCCCCTTTTTATTTTAATGAGGGTCGCTTAATCACTTTATTTGTTCATTTCAGGAAAGCCACTTTTCCCTGGAACATCAACTTTAGATCAGATTGAGAAAATTATGACAGTAATTCCTACCCCATCTAGACAAGGTATGAATACAAAAAATAGTAGCCATGAAATATCTTAGTAGAATTGAATAGCTAATCCAGGTGGGCCTTGGTTTGAATAGTGGTCTCACCAGAGAGCTTATGCCACTTCTTATGCCAGTGGAAGGAAATGCAAGCTGAATACCCCCTGCACAAATATTAGGCAGATTTAGCAAAGACAACGTGACAGCAGTGACAACTGTGTGCGCAAATCAAAAACTCGACTTGACCAATCGCAGACCGACAAATTGAGCACCGGAAGTCATACTCAGTCTTTTTCACGTGCTTTCTGTCCTAAACTGACGTTCCCTTTCTGTTGCTAAATCACACTAGTACATCAACAGTACTTTGCTCTTCTTTTAATGTTGTGTTCTTATAGCCAAAGAACACATGTAATGGAAAGAGGAGCAATGATTGTTAAACTAAGAGATAAGAAAGTAATATATTTGTTTCTTTAACAGTTCATTTAACCCTTTGGGAAGCTGTAAATAGTAAATAATGCTACTATCAAAAAATTAGTGGCTCGATGTATCTCACAGCAACATGAATGTGAGTTGTTCACTAAACAAATGCTTTGAATGTAGCTGAGTTTTGTTTCAAGTTGGTTGATGAGTTTTTTGGTTGCTGACATGTATGTATACTACCTTAAAAGAAGCATGGACTCATGTCTTGTATGAGATGACTTCTTTGTTGAGCTGTGTTTTGGATTGTTTCATTTTAGATATTGACAGCATCAAGTCACAGTACAGTTTGTCAGTGTTGGACAGAATGGCCTGCAAACCCAAAAGGAGCCTTGAAGAAATGATACCCACCGCACCACCAGACGGTATTGATCTGCTAAGGAAACTTCTCCAGTTTAACCCTGATAAGAGGCTGACAGCAGAACAGGCTTTAACACATCCTTTTGTGGCGAGATTTCATAACCCTGAGGAAGAACCTGCCATGGATTATGATGTGATTCCTGCGCTGGATGATGATGTACAGTTGACTGTTGAGGAGTATCGTGTTAAACTTTATGAGGTAGGTACATTTACCCTTAGTTGTGAATTACTGGTTACATACTTGTTGTCCTGGCTTGAACTTTTATCTGAGTTATTGCTTGCTAGAGTTAGCACCAAGCATCATTATAAGAGTCCTTATAAAATTTCCACCATGGAAGTGTCCTACTGCCTCTTGAAACCAAGGCTTTAACTTAGTGTTTTCAGTCTGTTAGAAAATAATTGCTGGTAAGATTTTGTGTTTACATCACACTAGTGTCATGAGGTGTTTAGGTCTGTGAGTGAGGTTGTAACTTGTAAGATCAATTCAAGTAAGACCTCATGAATTTTATTCTTCATTGTGTATAGAGTATCATCCAGAAAAAAACTAACATCAGAAGACAAAGAAGGGAAATTTTCCTTCAAGATCAGAAACAGAAGCAAGCACAGGCTGCTGAAAAGTCAAGACAACAGGAATACCAGCCTCTACGGCAAGTTGAAAACTATTCTTACACAGCACCAAGCAATGTACATGCCGACCGTTCTCCACACAGTTCACCTTCCAAGCCCCCCCTGCAGAAGAGTGATGGTGTCACAGTAGCATTTGGTAGAACAACAAAGTATCAGCATCAGCGATCACCATCTGCTGGCAAGAGTATGGTCAGGAGACATAGCTTGGAAAATGATACTGTAAGTTGTATTTTTTTGTTGCTTGGCATAGTGCATTAGGCCTGGTTCCGACGCCGTACTTTTCATGTGCCGAACCTAACTGAATAAGTTCGACTTTGGAGCGACACTGGTGCGACATCTGATTCAGAGGGCGTACTGTGTGTCGAACCTAAGTTAAGTTTGACAAAAGTTCGACAGACTCTGTCAAACTTAACGCTTTTGCCGCACCAAACTAAAACTGCCGCACCAAATTGATTCAGATGCTGCTCTTTTGCTGTACTTAATTCATCAGTTAGGTTCGGCACATGAGTGGAGCAGCATCTAAACCGGGCCTTAGGATCATAGCATACTTGAGAACTAGTGAAACTGCTGTGTTAGTTGATCACTTTTTAGCCTAAGTGCAGACAACTCCTGTTTCAAGGAAAGGGCATTGAAAGAGAGCAATAATTTTGGCCAATAATGTGATTTTTGACAAATCAAACCAATTTTTGGAATGCTGGTTCACTGGTAAACAGCAATTGCCACTTGGCATTTATTTTTGCCAGTTTTTTTTATATGTACAGGTGTATGTTCAAGAGGAAAGATATGGGATAAGAGCCCAGTTTTACACAACAGTGTCTATTGAAAACCTATATCTTCAGCCTTAGGTTTTTCAGTCTTATACGTACTGTTACTAGTTACCAACAAAACAAAAAGGAACTTTTACCTTTATAGAGCAATTCATTATTGTTTTGCTCACTGATTAAATAATTTTTGAAAATTTCGTATACAGGCTATGTCCCCGCCTAGAGCAAATCCTGCTGGCCGCGCAAGACCCATCTCTGCTCAAGTAAAGCCGAAGAATACAATAATAACACGCAGTAATAGTGCTGATAAGCTTCTTCAAGTTACTAGTGCACGCATGGTGAGTTTGCTCTTACACACACTTTTACGTACATGACTGTACATGCCATTAATTTTGTCCTGAATTTAGAATGGTCTCAATTGTTATCAGAGCCTTGAAGAGTGGGGTTTCACTTATAATTAATGTACATTTAGTTTTAGGCTCAGCCATTGCCTGGACTGATCTGTTTAGCATTAGGCACATTTAAATGGGAATAATATTTCCTGCATAAATTTCCTGTGATGCACATAAGGAGAATTCATTTAACAATCAAGACTACCTCTATTTTTGTTCAAATAGTGTTACAGTAACTATAGGAAAAAGAATGTTGGTCACTCTTAAGGTTTATTGTTTAATTACTGGGTTATCCCCAACATGATGTCATTGGTCCTTATTAGAGTAGAAAATCTTTGTGGGGCAAGCTCTGTTAGAAAAAAA